TTCCATTGTGAGCAGGGCTGTGCCATCAGAAAAGTGTTGTTGTTCTTGTTAGTCTACTTTCTACTTTTGTTAAGAAAGCATAAGGCTGTACTTTTTGGGAGAGGAGAGGAGATAGGAGCGTTGTGGGGCAAAAAAGAAGTTAAAATTTTTAGAGCCCGTGGGTAACTCTAACAGTGTAGTGAGAGGAATCCCAAAGGTTAACTTTTCCCTTAGGCTTCTCCTGCTGCAGGTCTGCTCTCAGGGGATACTTGAAAGGACCATTTACTGTCACAAGTCTTATACTTGTCTATGTGAACTACGAATAAATCAAAACAAGAACTTTCTCCTTCCCAGGTACAAGAGAACCATTCCATTTGGGAGCAGAAAGCTGAAAGCCTCTCTGTTCAGTTCTGTCAGTCACATTTTCCCTCAGAAAAATTTGCTCCATTCCTCAGCTTCCTTTTCTGTGTGTTAGCTACCCCTTGTACCTGTTTCTCAGTTGTCTGTTCTACAGGCATTGAATTGTTCTGGTTTAGTTTTGTACTGTCTCATTGGAAATACTGACTTCATCCTCACCTGCATAACTCCGCCCAGAGGCCTCCAGGGTACCGTGAGCAAGTGGGCAGAGTATCATGTCAGCGTGTGGCACACTCCTAGTTTGTAGTATCAGGTGCTTGAGCAGTGTGATTGATAGTTGTCCTACCTGAACCCATCTAATATTCTTAGCATGCCACCACTGACATGAGAGCCTTGCCTTTGTCCTGAACAGCGTCATATGAGTACTTTAAAATATGCCTCGATATGCTGAATTTTAGAGAAACACACAAAACAGGAACAGGAAACTACTTTGAAGGTAAAATATTGAATGGGACCTTTCATTGTGTTTGCCCCCTGTTGTGATTGTGTCCCGGGTAACCCTTATGAATGGAAAGAGATTCTAGTCATGGCGGTGGGACTGTAACCTTGTGGTGTAGAGACTAACAAAAACTGGTTAATAAAGGCTAATAACAGATTAAATCCTGTTGGGTTAAGCATTAACATTAATGGTCAAGTGAACTGCCCTAATATGGTATGTGGGAACTGACAAGTTCTTGGATCCTTGGAAAACACCAGGCAGGAATTAAGCATTTGGGGGAAAATCTGCATCTGTCTCACATATCTTGAGAAATGTATTTTAAGCACTGAAGTACATAATGTCCTTTTTTTGTCTGCTGGGCACAAATGGCAGGTGTGCTTCTTCAGCAGCTGTAGAGTGCTGTTATTTTTATTTTTTAATTTACACTGTATCTTAGGGCATTCCTCTGTTCTATGTTTCAGCTCAATATTCTTCATTCTGAACTGGCAAAACAGCTTGCAGATACAATGGTTCTACCAATAATACAATTTCGGGAAAAGGATCTCACAGGTAAATTTTATTTTAAGTTTTAATTTTCCTCATGTGTTCCTTCTTGCTTATTTCGCAATAAACTGATATATAATGTCATGTAATAATTCGTTCTTTGATGATTCACAGAAAAGTTTTTTATGTTGGTGTTTTTTTTCTGCTAGAGAATTTCATTGACAGGTGCATGCTTTTACTCAGACTTAAATAGTGCAAGTTCACCGCATAACATTTTATGCACCGTATGGTGCAAGTTTGAAAATACACGGCTTTGTTCTTTATTGGGTCACACTGCTTTTACACTAGTGTAATTTTACTGAAGTCATTGATGTTATAATGGCCTACAGAAGGAAAATTTAGCAGTGAATCTGGCTTGCAAACAGTATTTATCCCACTTCAGAAGTTTGGGGTTGTTTGAAATGCAGGAGCAAGAAGACTTTATTAACTTTGAGGCATAGTATGTTTCCTCCCTTTTAACGAATCTGTCCGCTTTAAATCCTTGCCATCCAAGGGTAGTTCCAAGTAACCTGATTGCACAAACTTGGAAATTCATTGCTTAAACAGCAGAGCAATAATGCAAACATTTGGTGTAATTTCAAAAGAAAGAAGTTCATATTCAAGGTCAAGGACACTCTAACCTATTCATGCAACAGAAACACGAGTTTTTACTGCAGCATCTTCTTTTTCTTTTTTTTTAAAGCCCACTTCTCAACTCACTTAAGCTCAGTCCTGTTTATGTACTTTTAAAGACATCGTTTTGATGGGAGACAAAACAAATACAGCAAAATAATGACTAGTTAAGGTTCCTTATATCATAGCATCTCATTTGAAATTGTGAAGACATCAATGGATGCCTTTTTTAGAATATAATGTCAAATATAAAGCAGCATTTGGATGGGAAGATCTTGGTTTTATAAACACTTTCCCACCTCTTTAATGTGGCTTCACTGATACAGTGATTCTGCTCCCATCTTTATGGATTCTGCCTCGCGGTTCATAAAAGGCATAAAAAGAAAATGGAAGTGGAGCCTGCAACAAAAGCCTCAGCTGCTTCATGACACAAAATGAAAGGTTCTTCAGCTTCCCTGGATGTTAAAATCTTTTGTTCTATCCATCCATCCATCCCTCACAACCTCAACTTTTCTCTGACACAGTCTGTAGAACAGAATTTTTAGTAGAGGCCTGGCCATATTGAAATTTCATCATAGGATTAAACAAGGAAGATTAACTGCGTTCTTGGTTTTTACTTTTGGTCTTGCTATGTGTATGTATTGAATACAGAAGCCTCTAGGTACAAGTTAGTCACACCTGGGAAGAATTACTGTCTTTCTGCGTTAGAGTCATGAGGAACCGTTTTGGGGAGAAAAAGGTGGCACGAAGCTGATTAATGTGTAGGTTGCTACAAATAATCAGAGACCATGATGACATCATACAATTTCCCCTTAATCTTTTCACCGTTGCATAATGTCTGCTCTTGTGAATGTGCTTTCCCTGTAGTTTTTTGAGAAGGGTTTTGCCAGTTGCAGCATACTTTGGTATGGACGCTGAGAGTGCCTTGTGCCCAACACTTGCGAAAGTTGAGTCGCCTGTTTACTTTCTCTTCCTTCTACCTGCATCAGAAACTCATGGCCAGTGTTTGTTATGTAAGCATCGTAGCCAGCAGTCAGATGTGTTAGATAGATAGTTCTTTTCACAGAGAAACTTAGCAAAAAATGTTTCATGTTGATGAAGATTCATGTACAGGAAAGGGGCTTAGTTCATATGTCTCTGGGACTTAGATTTCTTGGTATTGCATAAGCATTGTTGGGAAGTTGTTCAGAACTGCTGATCTTTTATGATAGTCGTGGGCCTTTTGTCGTAACAAGCACACTGAAATGGTGCTTCTCTGGGAAATTACACTGGCAGATAAGGAATCTTTTTCATAGGGATAACTTGCTCAATCAAATAAACTCAGTCAACTCTTAATTTGCTATCTGCCTATTCATTTCTCTAGCAGCTGATCTGGTTTATCATTTTCAAGACAGGCATAACTTATGCATCTCTGCTTTGAAAGGATTAGAATGACTTACGCATTAAATGTGCCATAAATGGTCTCAGTTGAACAAAGTGTTTACAGCTGTTTTTACTTTGAATATTTGATTTCTCTTTTCCAGAAGTAAGCACGTTGAAGGATCTGTTTGGCCTTGCTAGCAATGGTATGTTTCCCTGTTTTGTTTGTCTCTAATGGTGTGCACCTGTTATATCACAAGAAGACATTTTTAATCTATGCACACACACATCACATTTCTAAAAAAAATAATATTCCTTGTCTACAGAACATGACGTGTCCATGGCAAAGTATAGCAGGTTACCGAAAAGGAAAGAAAATGAAAAGGTAATGAACGTGAAAGGGAAAAGGAAAAGTTTTTATCAGCTGTTCTGTCTGCATCATTGTTCACGTACAAACTTTGGAGAGTTCGTCAGTTAAATTCACAGTAGCTCAGGAGTACTTGCGATTTCGTTTCCAAGCAGGCACAAAGCTTTTAAACATCAATTCAGCAAAGTTTCACCTGTTTTCTCCAAGTTAGGCAAGTGATCAAGTATTGTGCTGAACTAGTGCCCTTCAGATCCAGGGGCACTCTTCAGACAGAGGCAATCCAAGTGGCTATAAATAGATTTGTATAGGCCTACTGTTGTACAGCTGATGTGATGATGCTGTATAACTGGGTACAATTCATTGTGAACTGTCGCGAAGCCTTGTGTCTGCTATTTATAAAGCGTTCCATTTTTTCGTGTCTACCTTCCTGCTAAATTTCTCTGTATGGATTGTCGTTTCACTTACAGTACACATAACTCCGTTGGTGGGATTGTTTTACGTTTCTTCTTTGCCCGCTGGACTACTATCCCAAAATATATCCCCGTGTGCCAAAAAGTGTGTGATTGGCCATATCCTAAGAGCGCATCAGTTCTACAGGATGGTCCTTTAAAGGAAATGCATTACAAAGAGTGATAAAACATATTGTAAACTATTCATCTCTGAATTCTGCGCTTGCAGGCTTGTGTTGTGATCTCAGCTGCAAATAAATTTCTTGCACTGAGATCAGGTCCAGAATTTTAGTTGTGGTAGTTACGTAGTTTATGGTCACAGGGGCTCCCCAAATGCTTAAGTATCTTGCCACAGAAGGGCTTGAAGTCCTTTCTTTGGGGTTTGGATTTGCTTTTTTAGTTTCTCATCCTTCATTTTAACGTGGAGAAGTTCTGTGATGAGAGTTGTTTAAAGATAACTTGAAAATAATCAGTAACTATATCCATATGCACAGTAACACTTTGTCAACCTCTTTATCAATTTTTATTCAGCTTAAGGCAGAAGTGGCAAAAGAAGTGGCAAATGCAAGAAGAAAGCAGCACCTTTCATCTCTGCAATATTACTGTGCCCTGAATGCTCTGCAATACAGGAAGAGAGTTGCAATGATGGAACCTATGCTAGGATATACACGAGGACAGGTATGGACAGTAAAGCGTCTATATCACTTAGACATGGCCCTAGGAAAAGTAAAACATTTTAGCTCTGGATTTTTTTTTTGAGAAATGACAAATGGTGTGGGGGGTGAAACTTTTGTTCAGCTTGCCTAGATTATAACAACTGATTTTGTTTGTGGCAGATATTTGAATGATTAGATATTCAGGAAAGACACCAATGATAAAAAAATTCAATGCACTTATATGCAAAACCAGCCTGGGGTTAGTTTTTTCACGGCTAAACTATCAGTGCAGCAGCATTTACTTCCACTGTTTACTCTGCCTGCACAAACTCTCCTACGTAGCAATTCCCTTCCTAGCACATAATGTTCAGCATACTGATGAAGAGTGTACACGATAGGGAACAGAGCATGCACTGGAGAACTGGAAGGACAGAACAGTAGAGTGGATTGGGCATAAGGCTGGCAAATTCTCTTCCTAATCTTTATTCTGCCAGCAATTTGATAGAGCATTTCTCAAGTCTGTAAAATGCGGTTGTAATACGGATAATCTGACTCTCCAGGATGTCAGGAGGATCAACAAACTAGTATTTTCACAGCACTTGATTCCCATTACCACCCGTTTTAAGAGTCTGTTGTGCTTCAACATTGAGGAAAGAAAGCGTTGGGAAAATGAGAATTGGGCTGTGAAAACAGGAAAAAATGGATACAGTGCTGTTTGAGATTTAGTGTGGATCATCATCTCCATTGCCCTGTGTCTTTTGCAGATCACGTGCCCCGAATAAAATAGGTAATAAATGAGAATTCAATCACTTTCCTCACCATGGGGGTTCACACTGCTTCTCTGCTGTAATTCTACGAAGTGAAAGAGCTGCATTGGTTTCCTTAACTGGAAGCCAAACAGAACTTTTTCCCTGTATTTTTTCTGGCAAAACTGCCATATCTCAGTGCTTTACACAGGAAGGTCCTAGGTTGTCATGTCATTAGCTACTCATGACTGAGTAGCCAGAAGTCAGTTGATATTGATAGTTAAATACTGTGAACCGCCCTTCAGCCCACGTATACATTTTCTTTATTAATTACTCAAAACATGTGCCTCATATTTCACGTTTCCAACAAATGAGCAGGTCATAAGGAATTTTTGGAAGAAGTAGTGGCTAATACAGTGTTTATTTGACTGAAAACTGACATCAACATCTAAGCTACGTGTGTCAGTCTGTCATCAGTGGAATTTAGAGCTCTTTCCTCCTGAAGTAGGCTTCTGAAATAGAATAGGTGAATCATTCTTGAAGAGAGTGTGCTTTCTCTCCTTTGTCTGTGAAAGGGAGTCTGTGGTCAATAAAATGGTTGCAGAAATCTGAGTTACAGGTGAGAGGAATCCCACATCCCAAAGTTCGGGAAAAGCAGTGGAATTACAAGTAAAATTGGATGAAATAGCTAATAAGTTGCTTAATAGCCTAGAATTTGCTTTTACATCTCTTTCTGGAGTAGTTCACTGATTTTTTTTTTTTTTTTTTTTTTTTACAGCATTTTATTTAGATCTATTGTTGTGTAGAATGAGATTTAATCTTTATTTCAGTTAACATTTCAGATATTTTTTGTGGAACTAATATTAAGAGTCAGGTTTTGTCAAGTTCTTTACTGAGTATCGCTTCTTAGACTAAGGATTTTGCTATCAGCATCAGGATGTGATATAAATTAATTCATACGTATTTTCTGTGTTTCCATAAGGACACGATAATGGGTTCCACAAAGCCAACGGAGATAGTACTGGTTATTTTGAATGGTGTCATTCACTTAGGATTTGTTCGAGAATTTCTTTTTTCACTGTTTTTTTGGGGGTTTCCCTGTTTTTTTTTTTTTTTTTTTTTTTTTAAGCTAATTAATTGCACACACGTGCTAGCTGTGTCCATGTTTCACACAGTTACCAGTAGGTCCTAACAATGACTGTGTGCCCCACAGCAGGTAATCCAAGGTCAAGTCTACACTGAGTGCTTTGCGGCTGTTGTGTGCCTGCTGAGCCATACCAGCTAAGTGAATTCATCTTCTGTCACAAAAGGTGCATTTTGGCCTTAGAAGCTTTTTTTAGCTCCTTCAGTAGAACAAAATCCAGGGTAAATCTGTAGTTGATATAACTGATTGCCTTGGAGGCTTCTGCTAGCACAGCTACACTTCATCACTTTCCTGACTGACTTCGCTATAGCAGTTTAAAAATTTCCAGGTTGGAGTTGGTAGTCCAAGTTGGACTACAAAATCTAAAGGATGATATGTGTCCCATTCATTTTGATATGGTGGCATTGCACGCAGTGGCTCATAACACCACTAGAACCAATTCTGCACAGTGCTAGTATGGGAGAAGGCTACCTGTTCCCTTATTTCAGTCGTTTAGCAAGTTCATTGGAAACATACCTGTCAGCAGCCAATAGCTTATGTGTGTGTAAAAGGGTGTGTGAAAATGTTGAAAGTTGCAAAAGTGAGAAGTACAAAGAAAGGCAACGCAGCTGTTTTGACCCATGTGTTTGATCGCCAGCCAAAAGTATCAGTCATAATGGGATTGCTCTTAACACAGTCCCCACAATCTGTTATTTGTCTGCCAAAGCCAAAATAACTTCCAGTGTTATTTTGTGGGTTTTTTTATTGTTGGTTTTTTTGCTTTTCAGATCAACTTTTTTAAGAAAGGAGCAGAGATGTTTTCCAAAAGAATGGACAGCTTTTTGTCATCTGTTTCAGACATGGTTCAAAGGTAACACAGTACTTTAGCGCTGTAACCTTCAACTCATAACGGAGAGTGCCTCTGTTTCTTTCTCATGAGAATCCTTTCATGCTTGCATTGCATTGTTGGGCATAGTTTGTTAAAGCAGCATGTGGAAAGGCGGTATGTTTGTACATGTAAAGGAAAACGCTGTCAGTGCACTGCAGAGAGTATTTTTACAGTATAGCCATGAACTATATACTGCAAAGTGTTCACATGCTTTCTTACATCCCCGTGTCTCTTCATGGACACAAAGCATGGAATCTGGGCTTGAAATGCGTTAATAGAATTAATATAATAGAGCTAAAGTGCATTTTGAATTAGAGGTATTTATACATGCCGGGTCTTCTGTAATAATACTGTAACAAAACCCATTAACCTCTCGAATAACGATTTAGGGCCTATAGTGTTTGATGTTGTAGCTACGCAAGGCAAACAAAACTCCTCGCCCTAGAGAACATATTCATTGCATCCACTACAGGCTGTGTCGGTCCACTGAGTTCAATCTGCTTTGGCTAAGTCCTTATTTCAATAAAGTGCCTCACTTTTGTACTCCTAATTTTATGATTATTTTTTCTCACACACCCCCTCAGTGAAGGCTGACATTTTCTTTATAATTAAGTCCCCGTAAATGTAAACTTTACATTTAAAATGTAATCATATTAGAGAGAACATTAATCATTTCTTTTAAATCATCTGGAACACTAAACTGAGTCCTTCACTTTATTGCTTCATACCTTTCATATTGGACTGTATCCAAATCATTACTTATTCTGAATTACTTATTCTGACTCTGGTGGCATTTTAAATAACACATACTTGTTAATTTGAGAACAGTGTTATATGTGATCTCTCTGTATAGTAGATTCTTTCATTAAATTATTCTTTACTTCCTGTACCTCTATACTTTTTTATATATCTTTTTCACTCACTTCTGAAATAAATCCCTCGACAGTCTACATAGCATTTGTACAGACTGGAGGACAGATTTTAAACTGCCTTGAAATAGTGCCCTTTATTTAATAAGGCTAGAGCACCTTGCTTGTGTCTTACAGGCACAGTGAGGATCCTGCCATTGGATCCTCACCATAGAATAAGCCCTTGTTTTCCGAAGTCTGATGGATTTGAATTCTGGATAGTACACAGTAGTAAATGGAAGCAAAAATAGGCTGCTCAGTTGGCTTGCTGAGTCTGTTTTTTGTGTTTTAAGTCTGTCACACAGCAACGCTTGAAAGTGCAACTCAAATGTAACTAGTACAGGAGTGTGACGTCTTTGGAAAAACCAAGAGAGAAGCTTGCAAAATTCTGAATGACACTGTGCAGCTTAACAATTACTGGCACAGGACATGGTTTCATGACTTAAGATTGCACAGCCACTGAAAACTGTGCTGCCTACTCCTTTCCTTCTTTAGTGCTGGGGATCACAAGGCCTCAGTGAGTCAGATCTTCTTGCTAATCAAGCTAAAAGCTTTTTATGTGTCAGATTTGTTTTCTTGGACCAACAAAGCCGATGGGACCCATTGTGCAGTTTCAGAATTTCAGCAGTGATGCAGTTTTGCATCTATTTACACTGATTGTGAAACTGAGTCTTCATATTTAAAAGTATTTTCATTTATACAGTGAATATTGCTAACAGTGTAAAAACACCTAAGAGAGGACAGATCACTAAGATAGTCTCAGTAACCAATTGGTCTTACTGCCACAAATGTATATAATTTCAGAATTGTCAGCTTTTCTCTCCTTCCTACTTTGAAGAGAAGAGAAACATGCCATAGGAAGAGGAATCCAGTCTTGGGAACCGTGAAAATGCCAGGGCAGTTTTGTTGGAAGCAATTTGTGGTGCAACAAAAATGACTGATCAAAAGATTCATTGAAGTAGCGCTTATGTAAAAACCGGCAGGACTGTTCCATTTTATTTCAAAATTTTATTTTAAATTTTTTAAAAAAAACTATTTTAAAATTTATTTATTTTTTAAATTTATTTTATTTCAAAATTTAAATTATTCTTATTTTGACATTTAATGATAATGTTGAAAGGCACTAGCTTGCAAAATATGGTGTAATTTAATTCAGATCTGATGATATTACTCAGCCTTTATAACTCAGCCTCTCATATGACTTGGCTAGGTGGTAAGATGCACACAGCTGGTGTCATTTTGGAAGTGATGTGGGAGCTTAGGAAGTCTCAGCTTTCTAAAGATGCAGAAAAGCTGGAAATAAGCTAACATAAAACAGACTAACACCATGATGCAAGAGTTATGACTCTTCATCTGGCCAGTCAGATACTGCGCAGTGCTGACTTAAATGCAGCACTGTATCTCTATATTACTTCAACAGTTACAGGATATCACCAACTTCTACAAAAGACTGGGGAGGAGAACAGGAGAGGAATCATATGTACTTGGCTTGTACTTTTCCGCAGGTTTTTGCCACTGTCAGAGACAGGATAGTGGACTACATGGATCTCTGGTCCTGCTGTGTGCAGCCTGTGTTATGTGCTCCTGTTCTCCAAAAGGTTTAACCGCTTGGGCGGGAAGTAGGAAGCAAGTTGCTTATTGCATAGGTGCAGGTATTAATGACTTTCTAAGGTATGCAATGACAAGTATTCTTATGTTCCCACCTCATGAGTTTTCCTAGTATCCCGGACACAGTTAACTCAAGTTTGGAAAAGTTAATAAAGAAATCAAATATTTGCTAATATTGTTTCTCTGAAAGTCAAAGAACAGCTGCTGCAGTATGGACCTCGAGAGGTCGTCTAGTCCACTCTCCTGCTGACAGCAGGGTCAGTTAGAGCAGAGTGCTCAGCACTGTGTCCAGTCAAATTTTGAGCATCTCTCTGTGTCTGTCCCTCTCTCACACATGGCACACAGGGTATCTGGTTACAGCTTGTGTCCATTGTCTCTCCTCACTGTGCACCTCCAAGAAGGGTCTAGCTCCATCTGCCATGTACCCTCCCATCAGGTAGTTAAGCTAGCAGTAAGATTCCCCCCCCCCCGTAGCCTTCATTTCATGAGGCTGAAAAACAGTTCTTGCAGCTGCTTCTCATGTCACATGCGCTGGCCCCCTAGCCATCTCGGTGGCTCTTCAGTTGACTTCGTTTCTGCCTTTTGTGTGCTGGGGCACCAAAACTAGACACAGGACTCCTGTTGGAGTCTCACAAGTGCTGAACAGATGGGAATAATTACTTCCTTTGACCCGCTGGCTATACTCTTGCTCATGCAGCCCAGGATGTGACTGTCCTTTTTTTGCCACAAGGGCACGGTGCTGGCTCAATGTTCAACTTGTCCTTTAGGACCCCCAGGTCCTTTGCTGAAAGGTGCTTTCTATCCAGATGCCTCCCACCCTTTACAGCTGCATGGGGTTATTCCATCCCAGGCAGGACTTTGTATTTGTCTTTACTGAACTTCATGAGGTTCCTGTCTGCCCATTTCTGGAACATGTCAAGGTCCCTCTGAACAGCAGGCTTTCACTCTACCGTATGTGTCAGTCTTCCCAATTTGGTGTCATCTGCTCCTATGGGTTGTCCAGGTCCTATTAAACATGGTCTTAACATGCAGGAATTCCCGCATGTTATAAAGTTGCAGGAATAAGACAAAGTTCTGTGAAAGCTAAGAGATTGTATAGTGAAGCCAGCTTCGAACTGTGCTGCTATACTAGAGCAACATCTATATATGTTCAGCAGCATAAATTCATACAAGCATGGATTTATAAGCTGTCTCTCAAAAAACTCTTCACTCTCAACACTTAAATGTTTCTCATGTGTGCTTGTTTCGGGTTTACAGAACAATCTCATAATTCTGATGATCATCTCTCTATACTGCTTGAGGAAAGAAGATGACTACATTTAGTACAAATTGCAAAAAAGAAAGCATAGCTACTGTATGAGACATATTGAGAGTAACATCTTCAAGCTGGGCTTTCAATATAAAGAGCAAGGGGAAATCCTGGCTGTGCTTTTGCTGCCAGCCTGCCAAAGATAGCCATATTTTCCTTAAACCATTGTTATTACCTTCAGAGCATATGCATCTTGTCTGTTTAGGCTCAGATGACATTTTCTGGGAGCAGTTCCCCATTGTATGCCTCTTCCTTCCATTCTTTCCTAACTGCACCGATTTATCTAGTCCTCAGAGAAAGCCTTGGACATGTAGGCTTACATTATATTTCCTATAAAGTCTATTCTAAAAATAAACTTTATCTGGCACTACTCTCCAATATACTCTCAACTGGTATTTGTGTTCACTTTGGGTTACAGATGTTAGCTATGTCCTGGTATAAATTGACTAATGATGGCTTTGGGTTTGTTCTTGTGTTGTGTTTTTTCCCCCCCCCCAGCATACAGGGAGAGTTGGATGCTGAAGCTGAAAAAATGAGGGTATCCCAGCAGGACTTAATTGCCGTTAATGAATCTGTTTACACCCCAGATTCTGATGTAACTTCACCTGCTATCAATAGAAATCTCATCCAGAAGGCTGGCTACCTTAATCTTAGAAAGTAAGAAGACTGTTGCTACCCACTGGTTTGTTTAGTTGCTGACTAGTTGGTACTTCTGTTTCTTGTTAAGGTCGTAAGACTCCTCAGGTAATGATGTTTGAGGCTCCTGAATCACTGTGGTAGCTGTACTTTTCAGCTCCTAGGTATCTTTGTCATCTTTGGAAATGTGTTTCAGAAGCTTAAACCAAATTAGAGGCATTTGAGACTGTTTTCCTGAGAACAGAAATTTACTTCTGGTTGGATTCACCTACAGGGATGATTTCCTGCATTCGGGTGGCTAAAAACTAGAAACTGATGGGGCTGGGTTCAGATTGTTCCCAGTTCTTAGGGGTAATGAAAACATAGTGTTTACAAAAACAAACAGCTATATTTTGTAGTTAATAGGTGTTTTCATAAACGACCTCCTTTACATAAATAAAAGCTTTATGGACAATGCAAGTGCATAACTTTGAATGCATACCATACATTACTTCTGTAGATTTTCCAAATAAAATCTTTCATCAGCTTCCGTAGGAGCTATGTATATTGGTGGCATGTAGTAACCCTGTTCATGTGATTGATTAAATACCAGTTTATTTCTGTTTGACTAGTAATTTTTTTTTTTTTTGTGAGTGGACATTTATTAATTTCTCGTAGCATTCTAAGAGCTGGGTTGCAATATGATAGGACTCCATAGCTAGGGGGAAGATGGACTCTGAGAAACTACTTGCAGAAGATACTTTTTTTAATGATGATTCTTTGTGCTGAAATTGCTCATGCTGCTCTTCAGCTTGAAAATATTTTTTTTTTTTAAATCCAGCTTAATAGTATTTTATGTCAGTTACTCAATACCAATAATTCTTTTATTCCTTAACTAGGAGGTACTGCAGAGAATGTTTTTAACTTGGGATGTTTGGAATTAGTTAATTCTTGAGCTTTCATTAAGGATTAGTCTATGCTAGGAATAGGTGCTGCTTTTACTTCTTAACAGAGACTCATCATAAAAAAAATCCGGGGTTGAACATAAAGTTCAGATTAGCATCAGGATATGTTTGCAGTTTCATATATGTTTGGAGTATTTCTAAACAGTAATGAGTCTTTATCACTGCATCTTCTCTTCAGCAAAACAGGTCTGGTGACTACAACTTGGGAAAGACTGTATTTCTTCACTCAAGGTGGCAACTTGATGTGTCAGCCAAGGGGAGCAGTAGCTGGAGGATTGATTCAGGACCTGGACAACTGCTCTGTTATGGCTGTAGACTGTGAAGACAGAAGATACTGCTTTCAGATCACTACTCCTACAGGCAAAGCGTATGAGACAGGTTTTAGTTGAGGACAGCCAGTCACGCCTACCCTTTCAGATGCTGTTTCGCGTAAAACATGCTTGCTGTAATAGTAAGCTTTTCTGGGTTTCCAGAAGGGTGTTTCCAAATTAAAAGCATGTTCCTTCCCATCCTCCCCCACAAATGCCTGAACCGCACATGCGGTATCTCTTAGCTGCAGCTTATTCATGATTTTTGTTCCTTTGATGGTTAATAGATACAAAGCTTGGTGATGTTATTGTAAGACCTGGAGTCAAACAGTCCTGGTGTCTGCTGCTAGCACTGATACACTATGTTTATATTTTAGGGGTATAACCCTTCAAGCAGAAAGCAAGAAAGAATATGAGGAGGTAAAAATATTTTCTTAATGTTGTTATTCTTGTATACAAGTGAGCTCGAAGAGTTCAATTTCATGTTTCCCTTCCAGTGGATTTGTGCCATCAACAACATCTCCAGACAGATCTATCTCACTGACAATCCAGAGGTGGGAGCTTGTTTCCATCTTTCAGTTTGTTCCTTCCAACTTGCTTTCCCGTTGTGCTTTACATGGCCATGTAAAGTATGTGTAGAAAGGAGCTGTTCTGTCTTGTTTTCATAGGCAGCTGCAATCAAGTTAAATCAGACAGCCCTACAAGCAGTGACACCCATTACCAGCTTTGGGAAAAAACATGAAGTTCACCGCCCCAGGTACCATTCTCACTTGCACGGACTAGAGACTGTGCGCTCAGTCGTGCTCTTTTTTACAGGGCAGCAGTAGCCTGGGACAAAGCCCTCTCTAGGCCCTGGCTTTGCAAGCCTGCGTGTTCCAGCAAATTCCTCTACTTCTGACGTTTCCTACAAAAAACCGTTAAGAGATGCTAAGTGTTGAGGGTAACGCTTATTGTTCCACATCACAGCTTTGAAGCTCCTTGCAGTTGCCATTGGGATTTTGCTGTTTCTTCAGAAACAAACACAATGCTTTACTTGTAAGTGCTTTGCCATAAGGGAATGATTTGTAATGTGGGTAATACAGCGGAGTCCCCAGCATGCACTGAAGTAAGTATATTCCTGCATATTACCTCAAGCAGTTCCTGTCAGTCTGTCACAGGAATATGCCTTACACAGCTGTCAGAATAATTACTATGGTTCTCTTGTGCTCATACAGGTCAATCAATAAAGCTCCCCACCTTCAAATAGTGTTAATAATGCTCTAGGATATGCTTATATTCAAAATATGTATTTTCTGTATCGTTTCTTTGTGTCCACATGATCCTAGCATCTTGCTCAGTGGGAATTCTTCAGACTTCATCATCAGAGTTGGCTTTCAAGCCCAGTGCTGGACTGAAATCCTGCTTTCAGCAGCAGTGTGATAAATAAAATAGGGCAAGTTTGTGTCACACTGACTTCAACATGAAGAGACTTCTCTGCAAGTTTTGTCAGAATATTGTAATTTCTTATTCAGATACTTCTAGAAATTCAAACCTTTCCAGGTCTTCTGCCTCTCAGGCCAGTGCCTTTACTATGATTTATGATTCCCTTTATTATGATTGCTTACAGATTCCAAAGATTCCCTATAGCCATGGGGAATGCCAGTCAATTTCTTTCTAATTTTATTCACAGTACAGCTGTTTCACTTCGATTACAGATTTATAAATAGAAGAGTATTGTCATCTATTTCAAAGGAAATAGCTATTTCATTGACAACTCATCTCCCAAGTCACTTTCACATCTGTATGCAACCAGAAAACTTTCCAGAAATGGAAGGATGCTGCTAGTAAACCCAGCGTACCATATGTAGTGATGTGTATAGGTACAACTTCTATAGCTGTAGGAAACTTAGCCTTTCATTCTTTTTGAGAAAAGGTGCAGGAAGAAATCTGAGCCAGTGTGTAGCACTTCTTAACTATCGCATTGTAACAAGCCTGTGGCCAAGTAAGATCTTAAAAAAGATGTCAGGATTGCCATTGACACCTGTAGGCACAAGTCCAGGTCTCTGCTGTTTGAACTGGTAATGTGGCTGTAAATATGGCCACTGGAGGGCAGGGAGGCAAACAGCAACCTATTGCTGAAAGTCTGCCCACGCTGAGTTGCTCTGCACTCAGGTTTAATATACCAGCATTTACTTTTTTCCTAAATAATTTTTGGTACAAAAAAATATAATGGAGATTTTATTAGAGTGCTCAGTAACAGGTAAATAGGAAAATACTCTTATTTATGTTTATATATACTGGTTCAGTCCCACTCTGGATTTTTTGAATAATCTTGTCTCCCTTCCAGAGCACTCATAGAGTGTTATTGATTGAAACATTTTTTTCCATTTTCACTTTAGCCAGAATGTAAAGAATATGGAAAATGATAAAATAATTTCCAGTGAATCGGCTGGCATTGAAGACTCCACACAACTCATTGCTCCTGGAACACCGATTCAATTTGATATTGTACTGCCTGCCACAGAATTCCTGGACCAGAACAGAGGTGGCAGGTATGGCCAGAGGCAGTGAGCGATCACTTTAACAGAGTGACTTCAGGGGAGAAAATTAGGTATTTCAGCATGTGTGCGTGGTAACCAGAATCTGTAATTAGAGTTTTTATTCTTATTTCATAGACGTGCAAACCCATTTGGGGAAACTGAAGACAGCAGCAAAGATGAGGAGGAAGGTCAGTGCTTCATTTTTCCAGATAAAATCGGTTATGATTTTAGGCCTCATTCAGCTGTCAGCTATCCAGTGCCTCTTAATGAAAGCACCTGACACCATGGAGCAGCGCTAACAGATCCATAGCACGGGTGAAAGTAGTTGCCTTTTAGAAGCCAGTCTTTTAAACATCCCTACCTGTGAAAAAACCACCTTTTTCCTTGACAGTCCAAGCTGTATTCCAGATTAGGTTTATTTCACATTTTTAAAGGCAAAAATATATGGTTTGCTTGGTTTTTGTCTTTTATTCTTTTTCTTTTTTTTTTTTTAAAAGTAGCTGTTGACTTCTTTAGAAAGGGTTTGATGGGACTGTATTATAATTCTGCTCAAGTTTGAGGCTGCTTACTAGCCATTTCTTATGCACATGTACTCTGAAATCCACAATCTAAATCGCACAGAGGCCCAGCATGCAGCTAGCAGCAGCAATGTGTCTCTTTCAACAAAGGGAGAGTTTCTTACTGCTGCCCCCGTTCCCTCCTCCCGGTGACATGCCAGTAAAAGTCAGCAGTCCTGACTTTCCTCTGCCAGCACGCGCAGGGCTCGGACCCTGGCTGTTCTCCTCTTCCTCTGTGCCAGTTACAACCGCTGTCTGGAACCCGCAGTCCCTGTCAGAAAAGTACTCGCAGAACCAAAGCAGAACCTACTGATTTGAACACTCTCGCTTGCCTGTGCTGTCCTGTTGTGAGGCAGGATGGTTGCAAGCTGCCCGACTGCAGAGTAGCTGTGACAAGCAGGCGCCTCCGCGCTGGCGGCGGCGGCAGCAGCAGCAGCAGCAGCAGCAGCCGCCTGCTCCACTGCAGCACGCAGAAGAGAGGACAGTGCTTAGGTGGCTGCCCTGCGTCTCAGACCGCACAAGTGGATCCGCGTAGCTCAGCTCAAGCTGATGCTTAACAATCTTTGTGGTGTCTTGTGCAACGCAGACACAGCTGTTCTGGCCTTTG